GAGACACTGCCGAGATATCTCCGAGATATCTCCGAGACGCTTCCGAGGCACCGCCACTCTGCCCCACTCACTTGCTCGCCCCCCTCCCAAGGCGAGGAGCGGCTGACTCCGCGGCGGTTGCGCGACGCCTTCCGCGCGCGCTCGAGGGAGCTCCACCCCGACACGCGTTCCTTTGGCTTCCGCCGGCGCGCGGCAGCGGTTCAGTGGCTCTTCTCGGCCCTTGCCCTGAAGCTTCTCGGAACTTTCCTCGTAGGCGAGCGGCCGCTCCCGACGCGGAGGGTGCGGGTGTCTATGAGCTCAACGCGGCGTACGAGAGGGTGCGCAAGGTGCTGTGATCATGCTTATTACATCATTATATCATTAGTGTCTTTGTTGTTTTGTGATTGTGTGGCATGTGCGTGTGGCCGTCATCGCCTGCTGGCGCCTCCGCGCGGAGGTCGCAAGGTTGAGCTGAGTCATGTGCATAGTTTAGTCGACCGTTTCGCGCATGTGTTATATGCAGTCCAGTCCAGACATCACCCTTCTCTGGTAGAACGGGTACGAGATGTATGCAGGGAGTATTCGCAAAGAGGAGCCCCGCGCACGCACGTCGCACGAGACTCCGAGCGAGCGACTCCGCAGGCCCTCCCGCCCGTGCTTGCGCAGCGCAGCCTCACCAGAGCCGCCCGCTTTCGCTCCGACTCGCGACGAGGCTGCTCGAGGCCACACAGAGATGCACAAGACCCGCACCCGCCGCAGGGGGCATGGACCCGCCCGGCACTGCGCTTGACGGTGCTGGCTGGCAGTGACTCCCTGCGGCTGGCGGCGCTGCCATGTGGCATCCGGGTATCCACGCTGGCGCGGCCCAAGCGGCTTGCGGTACTGCATTAGGCAGGGTCCAGGCTGCTTGCGGGGGCAGCCCTGTTGGGCCCCCGCCGTTGGGCATCGCAAAGCTTGGGTAGCAGGGCGCGTGAGCAGCGCCTCCGCAGGCGTGGTACGCGTTGCCAGGCGGCAGGATGCCAGGCGGCAGGAACCCTGGGTACCCTGGTGGCATGCCCAGTCCAGGCAGGTGGGCCATCTGTGGCGTCGGGGGCTGCTGCCGCCACAGTGCATCGTGCGTTGTTGCTTGCGGTGCTGCTGCTGGCGTGCTGCCAAACCCGGTGCCGCAGGAGGCGCTGCTGCCCTGGCGTGCCGGCAGAATGCCCAGCGGAGGCTGCTGCGCAAAGGTGGGCATCCAATACTGCTGCTGCGCCACCATACCTGGGATGGCACAGGAGCCCAGGTTGTATTGCGGCAAAGGCTGGCCACAGCCATACGCTGTGGCTGCTGCGGGCTGCGGCATCGCTCCGACTGGGGCGATGCCCGGGATAAGGGGATTTCCCTGGTGTTGTGCTGCTCGCTCAGGCACCGCCCACTGACCATGTTGGTCGACGGTGGGTGTATGCTGTTGAGCGTGCGGCTGCGCTGGATCGTTTGTAGCTGAGCTACCATGCACAAGACCCGCACCCGCTCCCACTCCGGCGTGGGGAGTGCCAGGCGGGGCGGCGAGCGGAGATGGAGAGGGCGGTGCTTCGTTGTTGCGCGAGAGCGGTGAGAGCCAGTCTCCGAGGTCGTCTTGCTCCATAGGATTCGAACAATACGAAGGATCCCAAAACACACGTAACGAAGGGACGCACGGACTAATTGATATACGAAACTAATCGGCGGTTATTATTAGCAACGGAGCGCGTGAATGGGCTACCCGTAGTGGGGTAGGCGCAAGAGATCTTCCTGGCGAGGACTCGGACAATGTGGATGCCACGCTGGTAGGCTCTGCTGGCTTTCCCTGCAGCTGCACGCCAGACTTCTTCCGCGTTGAGAGCTGACCCAAGGACAGCGTCGTCTGGGACGGACGATGGTGCTCACGTCTGCGTCCTACCTAGGCTAGCGCGTTCTCACACTCTCACAGTGTGCCCAGCGTGCAGCCAGAGCCGCGGACCCATCCTGGTTCCTGCGCCCCCCTCACTCTCTGCTGGACTCAGCTGTCTGCGAGGTTTGTTAACGCCAGTGCGCGCCATCGTGGTGTTAGAAGTAGAGTGTATCGCGCGCCTTGCCGGGGGGGGGGGGGCGGGGGGGAAGAGGAATCTCTTAATTAGCGCCATCGCCATGGTGCTGCAAGCAGTCACGTTTCGCGAACACTGTGGTCTGATGAGCGCCCGCCGGCGGCCGCCCGTCCACTCCCTCGCGTTCGACGCTCGCACCGTTGTCGGGTGCAAGATGGCTTCACATATGCCGCTCGTCGTCGACGACAGCTTCGTTGCCTTCTACGACGTCGGTGTAACGATCGGATGAGCGCTGGCACGCATTCTTCGAGGCCACTCGGTCCGGCGTGGCCTTGTTGCAAGCTCGCTTTTTGCTCAGCTCGCATGTGCGGTCGACGCTGAGGAGACCGAAGACGGAGATGCGAGCAAAGCAGCTCGAGACCTTTAAGATCGGCCTCGCGTTGCGCATGCCTTTCTATGTCTGTGCAACCGGCCTCACTTCTCGACCCGACCTCAATGGCGTCTTCGCCCAGGTGGCGGCGCGCCTCGACCCGGAGAGCGGGCGCCTGCCGACTCGCGTTTTCATCTACAACGAGGCTCAAAGCATCCTCGTGAAGGCCGACAACCTGGTGCCCACACTGATCACAACGGGCAAGGTGGTCCGCATGCTTAAGCACCAGGCAAGCCTTTTTGAGGCGAGGAACGACCTTGTCGAAGCCTCGCTGTACCTCGTCAATGCGGCGCTCCTCGATCCCAGTGAGTCCGCGTGGCGCGGCGCCGTGGCAGCGCTGCCACCCACGAAGCGGTACGTCGACGTTCTATTCGACGATCTAGCGGCCACTCCGCCTGGACGCCCTCTGCCTTCGGACAAGCTTGCCACGTTCGCGGCCGCTCTGGACAAGCACATCTCTGTCAGCCTGCTGCGCCGCGGGCAGAGCTTACTCGCCGAGACGCCGCCGGGTGAGCGCCCGGCCGCATTCTCCGATTTCTCTGGGGCGAAGCGGCGCGTGAGCGAGGCGCTCATGCGCTCGCACCAGACGCCCGAGGCTCGCTTCTTCGACCACATGCACCTTGCGGTCCACGTGCTCCTCGGGTCGTGCAGCCGACGAAGGGGTAGGCCCAACTGTTGCATTCCATGGTGAAACATTTTCAGTGTATGTAGCTCTTACGATTTTGGAGGCAACGTACGTACTCTCTCTCTGGAGGCAAAGGAATTTGTTCCCGTTGCATTCACCCAGCAGAGTTGGCGGCGAAAGGTGTGTCGCAGGCCCACTAGGGGGCTGGGTTGTCGCAGAAGGTCCGTGCCCCATGATGGTTAAAGCCGTCGAGCCGAGTCGACTGTTGGGGGAAGAGTGCACATGTAGCGGGCTGCGAAGGCGCCGGAAATCAAAGTGGCCGCTGTGGGTGAATGACGCCTCAGGGGCAGGCTGTGGCATGTGCTCTATAGCCTGAGAGGTCGTGTGGGGCGAGGCACACATGTCAAACAAAAGACATGTCCTCGGAGTGTTCTGGCCAAAGTTCAAACTTTATCGACAAAACCTTCAGAAATGGATTGTCGATGCAAACGGCAGGCTCGAACGTGCTCGAAGAGACCGACTGGACCCCCTTGTTCAGATCTTTCGGCTCGATTGGGGTTGTGCTCGCACATGCCAGGCGCCCAGGTGGTGGCTGGCATATAGAGTGCAAGATTTGTCCATCCATGGCAGCGCACACGTTGGAGCTGCCATGGCGGTCAACGCTGTCATGTCGATGGTGGTGTCGGCCTCGGCGATGCAATAGTCGAGGTACTGTCCGGAGGATAAGCCATACTCGATAGCGGTCCCGCCATGGCTCCCGCATAGAAGCAGGAGGCTAGGTAGGCAGAGGCCGCATCGCGTCAGCTGTATACGTTTTACCAAAAAAGGAAAAGAAAAAAGGAATAGTGTGAATGCCCGGGAACATTTTCATCTTTTTTCGCTTCGCGGCCTGGGGATACAGTAGGTAGGGAGGGAGGGCGAGCAGACCCCCTATCCGGGTTGGAGCCGGAACCCCTGGGAGGGTCAAGGGTCGACGTTCCGACGTTCCGGAACGCGGCGCCGCTGTGGTGTAGCGCTTGCCTGTGTGCGCTACGTTTGTGTATACAGGTGTGTGTGTATATGCCATCTGCCCTTCTCGCCGCCGCCGCCGCGACGAGCTCCCAGGCAGTGACCAACGTGACGCATGGTCGCTCTCTGGTCGCGCACGACATCTCGCGCGCGGGCACCTTCTGCCTGGGCGGCAAGCTGGTGCCGCTGACTTTCCTGCTCGGCTGCCAGCGCTGCGGCAGCAACAGCCTCTACGAGGATATCGTCGGGAGCATCCGCGGCGCGCGCTCCGGCCACGCGCTGCGCGGCGAGCCCGACTACTACGCACGAGAACAGCACTTTTACGCCACCGACAGCTGGTCGCGCGGGATGGGCTTCTACGCCGACCACTTTCCGGAGTGCCCGGGCCGGAACGCGCACCCGCAGTACCAGTTCACCGTCGACGCGACCCCCGCGTACCTCCGGAAGCCTATCGTCGCCGACCGCCTCCAAGCCACGCTGCCTGGCGCCGCGCAGCCGCTCCTCAAGTTCGTCGTCATCTTGCGCGACCCCGCCCTTCGGCTCTACGCGTACTGGGACGCCTTCGTGCTGTCTGGCACCGGCGTCAAGAACTTTGACAACTGGCTCAAGGTGACGATGGACGCGGTACGCGAGTGCCAGCGCAACCACGGCGACGACCTCTGGCCGCCGCCCGACACCTTCCACTGCGACGAAGGCGCGAGGTATGGGGAGATATGGGGAGATACTGGGAGATACGACACGCAGCGAGGTATGGGGAGATGTGGGGAGATGTGGAGATATGACCTGCCGGCGCCGCTCCGCGGGCCGACGCGCCCGCGACAGCACACGCCTGGCCTCGCTCCCTCCCCGCAGACACGATAGAGGGCGTGGCCGCGGGCGTGTACCACGCGCAGCTCGAGTACTGGTTCAAACGGTTCGGGCCGAAGCGCTTCCTCCTCACGTCGACGGACGCCTACGAGGAGGACACACAGCGCGTGGTCAAGGACGTCTCGCACTTCCTCACCGGCTCGGCCGAGCTCGCCTCGCCCGCACGCCACCCGTCCAACATCGACTCGATCAAGGTGTTTGGCGGCATGTCGAGCGACGCCCGCACCAAGCTGGGCCGCTTCTACCAGCCGCACAACTCCAAGCTGCTCCACCTGCTGACGCACCAGACGCAGGTCACCTTCTCGCCCTCGGTCAAGCAGTTGGGCGTCCAGGGCTGGATCGCGGGGGGGTAGACCGTAGACGCCGCGCGCGCGCCGGCAGAGAGCTCGTCGATGTCGGCGTCGGTCGCAGAGACGTCAACGCCGACCGCTTCGGCCGCCGCGCGCAGCTCCCCTGATTTCCCTCTCGGTGCGAACGCGGCAGGACGCTCTAGGGCGGACAGTCGTGGGTCAGCGGGCTGTGTGTGAAGCACGACCCGGCCCCAGCATCGTCCCGCGCCACGCGCCAGTTGTTGGTAAATAAATAAAAAACGGACACCTCTCTACTGTGAGATGGGTAAAAAGGAACAGGTCCCCGCCCTTGCGATCTTTGTGCAGGGTTCTTTGTGGGTGTGGTCGGCGACTAGGCACTTAGCCGGGGGGCGTCCCTCGAGACCTGTATACCACAGGGCCAACCTGAGGTGCATGGGTGACTGCGGGTAGTAGAGAGCAGGGCTGCGGGCTCACGTGCGTGGCGCACGCGCCGTACGTATATGCTACCAGGTCGTGTTGGAGGATGTTCCGTTTTTATTTATTTAATAAATAACAGCGGAGAGGTGTGTGTGGCCAGCGCGAACAGGTCCCCCTCCGCCCGCCCTTTGATCTTTGACTTTCTAGGCGTTGTGATTCTCAAACGTAAAAAGAGGAGACGCAACTCAGCATGCATCAGTCCAACACGCCAACGTACAACGTTCCAATAGAGAGAGAGCCAAGAGAGAGCGCCGCCCCGACACGAGCGCCCCCTCCACGCTCCAGGGTCCAGGAGCCACCCCAGTCGACCAGTGCAGAGTTCAGAGAGCGATGCGCAGAGAGAGAGAGAGAAAGCGAGGGCGCAAGATAGCGGTGGCACCCGACCATGCAAGCAGTCCCAGCTCCGCGGTGCCGGGAAAAGATGCTCGAGCCGCGCGCCGCAAGACACAAGCCACCCCAGCCCTTGAAGACCAACGCCTTGAGTTCCGGACCATTTGCTCACCAGAGTTTGTCCACCACTGCTTCACTGCATGTGGAACTTGACGCGCAGCAGGTACTTTTGGCGGACCTGCGCCACGTCGTAGACGATAAACTCGTTGTATAGCAGCGAGGAGCCCGCCACGGCTGTCTTCTTGGCCTTCCCCTTTGGAACGAGCACGGCCGGGTCGGACGGCAGCGGCACTGTGCCGGCGGGGTCCGGCCCAGTCGCTCCCTTGCCGAAAGTGGAGTCCTTTCCAGCCTTCTTCGCCGACGCGCCCGCGCGGTACTCGGCCTGGAGACGCTCGTACTGGTCGCCGAGCGACACGTCGCACAGCAGCAGCACGCCCGTCGGCGCCTGGCGCGAGGCGAAGCAGTAGTTTGCGCTCTTGGAGACCATGTCTGCGAAATAGACGCCCTTGTCAAACATGTAGCCCGTGACGGGCGCCTCGGGCGGCGCGATGCGCAGCCCCTGCGAGAGGATGCCCGCCCAGTTGGTCAGGCGCGAGCCGTGCCACAGCAGCTGCCGGTTGCCCTTGTCGACGAAGCGCTCCGCCTCGCCGGGCCGCTCCACCTCGAAGGCCTAAGGTAAGGTAAGCTTCTCCACACACAAGTGGGTCGGGGCAAGGGCCGGGAAAGCCCTCGCGACTCCACGTCTAAAAAGACAGCAGCCCTCGGCATAAGGCCCAGTACGCTGTGGGTGAGCGGTGTGCGTGCGTGGGTGAGCGGTGTGCGTGCGTGGGTGAGCGGTGTTGGAGTGTGTTTGGGAGTGTGTGTGTGTGTGT